GGCTCAGCCTGAGTATGAAACCACAGACAAAGATTCCTGGTGCCAAGAAGATGGCTTACCCCGCCGCTGGACGCACCCCAGTGGACGCTGGGAACGGCAGAGAGATCCTAGCAGTGGGATTAGTCTTGGCGAGCCTGAGCCTAGCCTCATGCCTCAGTAACCTCCCCAATCCTGGGAAGGGGGAACCTGGTGGCAGATACCCAGAGGAATCACCTCCTACCTCATGGAACTGCAGCAGGGGTAAGCCTAATAAACGTTGTCTTGACACTAACACTCAACAGGGGGTGTACAAATTCAAGGAGAAATGGAAAACATACCTTGAAATCAGACAGTCAGCTCATAAACTACATCGAAGGAGCACAGGGGAAGTTTCAATTCCAGTTTGTAACAAAGGTAATCGTACTGTATGGGTTGAGGGAAAGCAGGAATCTGTCTTTGTTGCTTATTTCCATGCTAAACAAGTATGTTATGATGCGAATAAAATTAGTATATGTGTAATGGGGGGAAAACCTACTGGGTGGGAAATAACCTAAAGTATGAAAACAGGGTACCTCTAGAAACTGAGCCAATCATCCTGGACCTCTTAGGGGACCAGGATGACAGGGTTTGTCTACAGTATGATAAGATGTTCTGTTTTACCAAGGACAAAGAAGGGATGGATCCGGAAAGTAAGATGAAACAGGTAATGCAAGAGGTAAAAAGACAGGAAGCTGAAATAAGGAAAAAGAGAATAGAACAAGAAAGGCTGAAATCCCTAAGCGAACAGTATGACCAATTGGAAAAACAATATGCAAAGTGGGGATTTCCTGCCTCAGATCAAAACCTTTTTGTAGATCTGATGCAGGAAATTGCCACAGAAGTGAGGTTGTCTAATTGCTGGGTCTGTGGGGGGCTGAAATCCGCAGAAAAATGGCCTTGGAGCGGTGAGGGTTTGACCCCTGAGCAACTACTAAAATGGGAAACTGTTGGGACACCCAAAATAATTCAGAGACCGGAGGGGTGGGTACTAGACCAACGGGTAATTGGAACATTCTGCCTTAGCAGGGAGGGAGGGTTATATTCAAAAATGGTAGGATATACTCCTTGCATTTCCACTCTATCCATAAATTCCACCAGCCACATCAAGGTCTGGCAACCTGAAAGCCCTACCGGGTACTGGAGCCAGGAGAAAAGGAATAACTGTGAATGGAATTACAAAATTGGGCTTTGCTGGTACAAAAGCCCCGGAGCTAACCCTTATCAGTCAATCAGCCAACTAAGTAAGTATTGGGATGAGCCTGAGAGCATAACAACCAGGTGGAAAGCACCTAATGGATTACACTGGATCTGTGGGGAAAAAGGCTTACAGCGAATTACCCCCACGCTGGAAAGGATCCTGCACGGTAGGACTAATCAGACCTGTTTTCTTCACCCTACCCAGGTCAGAAAGTAGTTCACTGGGAGGCCCCTTGTATGAATCCCTGAACCGAGAAAAGAGGAGCTTAAAAGAAAAATTCCCTCTCATGGGTGGGGAACAAACTTGAGGAGAGGATGAATGGCCTGCTAAAAGGATCATTGAATATTATGGTCCTGCCACATGGGCTCAGGATGGGTCGTGGGGATACCGGACCCCCATCTATTTACTAAACAGCTTAATAAGATTGCAGGCTGTGGTGGAGATTCTATCCAATCACACTTCAGGTGCTCTTGAATTATTATCCCAACAACACTCTCAAATGAGGGCTTTTGTGTATCAAAACAGGATAGCCCTTGATTACTTACTAGCTGGAGAAGGAGGTGTGTGCGGAAAATTTAACGAATCTCAATGCTGTGTAGAAATAGATGATTATGGGGAGACCATTAGAGATCTGGCCACAGAGTTTAATGGGTAGCTCATGTTCCACTGCAAAAGTGGAACTCACTTCTCCAAGCATCGTGGTGGGACCATTTGTTTGATGGGGCTTGGTGGAAGAAAGTAATTTTCTTCATTTTATGTTTAGTAGCAGGAGTCATATTCCTACCCTGTCTCACCCCCTGCTTTATAAAACTCATCCATTCAGTGGTGCAGGGGATGCAAATAGCAGCATTACCCACAGACCCAGAAGCTGCCCTAGGAAAAACAAATCAGGTACCAAAAATAATGACACTAGGAGAAGAAATTCCTCATAGCAGGGCAGCTGAGGCCCTAACAAAATGTGAAGGACGAACAAAGGGTAAAGAACAAAACAATAAAATTTACCTGGAAATTCCAGATATAATAAATGAAAGGGAATTAAAATAAAGGAATCTTGGGATTCAGTAGAGGTAGAAATTAGGGCACAAATTAATGGGTTAATATAGAAGGTGGGGGATTGTTATGGGTAATAAACATAATTTGCACCATTCCTTGTATGGAATATATAATGGTAAATACTTGTTAGATTATACCTCGTTTGTACTAGTCTCCCCCCCCCCCCCCCTCCTTCTCCCCTCTGAGACTGGGTGTATGTTAGAAACTAATTTACAAGTAAGAAGATACGGCTCGCCAGGAGATGGGCCATGTCTGGAAAGCTGTGGAGACCCCAGGCACTGATCATCGCGTGAACGACCCGAGATGGATATCTTGGAAATCCCCGGACAGATACATGTGAATGCAGCGTTCCCGTAAATTTCATCACGGGATTCAACAACTCCGGACACTGAATTATTCTCCCTCATCTCCAAAAAAGAAAATCTTAATAACATATGGACTCTAAATAGAAGAAAGGACTGATTGCAAAAATCTTGGCCTCAGGTGGAATTTTCCCTATAAAACTCGCTTGTGCCAGGATGGAGGTGTGTGGGCATATAGGAAAACCTCTTATGAGGCTGACTCCTTGTTGCACACCCAGGGCCGACCCCTTGTGGCTGGCTAGATAAAATTTGATTGCAAAATAAATAATTTATTTTTCATATTAATTTGGCTGGACAAATTTTCATTTATAACAAAACCATCAGAGGTGGAAAGCTGCTGTGTGGACTCAGTTTGCAGAAGTGAAAGTCATCCAACTAGCCCTAGAAATTACTGAATGACAAAAGTGGCTTGTACTCTATACTGACTCCTGGATGGTGGCTAATTCCCCATGGGGGTGGCTGCAGCAGTGGAAGAAGACCAATTGTCAGTGCAAAAGTAAACCCATCTGGGCTGCTGCATTGTGCTAGGACATCGCTGCACCAGTAGAAAACATGGCTCTGAAGGTACGTCATGTAGATGTTCAAGCGCCCAAAAGTCGTGCCACTGAAGAACATCAGAACAACAAACAGGTAGATAAGGCTAAGACTGGAATAGGTCAAGTAGACTTAGACTCGGAGTGAAAGGATGAGCTATTTAGAGACCAAGGGGCCCATGAAACATCAGGACATCTAGGAAGGGATGCAACATACAGATGGGCTCGTGATCGAGGAGTGGACCTGACCATGGAGGCCATCACACAGGTTATTTACAAATGTGAAACGTGCTGCAATTAAGCAAACCATGTGAGTGAAACCTCCCTGGAATACAGCGCCGTGGCTGGGTTTCCAATATGGTGAGGCCTAGTGTCCTGGTTTTGCATTAATTGAATTTTTGGTAAAGAGGAATAAATCAGCTACAGAAGTAATTCTCTGAGAGAAGCTGCTTAATAGCTTCCTCTGTGCCTGGAAAAAGCCAATTGCTGGCTAGATCTGAAAATTGGCACACTGCTAAGCCAATTAGAGAAGCTAGAAACACCTCTATGAGCGGCTGCTGCCCAGCAGAGATTGTGTCACCAACAGCAAGAGGCAATTCCCCGATGTAAAGCTTGGACAAGATTAACCTTTTCAGCACTGCAGAACTTTATATCTTTTTCAATTAATAGAGCTTGAAAGTAGACAAACTTACAGACACCAATTCTCTCCAGAATCAGAGAAAAGAAAAATGTGAAGACATGTGAGGAGAACAACATGGAACCACCAAGGTCAGTGGAGAGGGAAGAGGAAGAGGAGATGCTTCAAGCCTGGGAGCAGAACTTCTTCTGCAAACAATGGTGAAGACTGTAGTATAACAGACTATTTCCCTGTAATTCATAAAGCATATGAGGGGGATGCAGCATTCACCTGCAGCCCATGAGAACTGGAGAATATAGATGCTGAAAAAGCTGTGATCTGACTTCAACAGAGAGAGAAAGAGAGAGAGACAACTTTTGCTTTCAGAGATAGGACTCTTTGCTTCTAGATTAGAACAGTTCATCCTTAAAAATTGTACCCCATAAGCCAGTGGCCCTCGATAGCATTTGTGGGAAGACTGCCAAGTCGATGGGAGGGACTTTCAAGCTGTGAGCAGGTACCGGGAGGACTTTTTAGTCACAAAATTAAAACCACAGGAGAACTGTAAGTCATGGGAAGAATTCTATGGCCTAGCAAAAGAGACTCCTCTCCCTAAGTGAACTGAAGAAGGATACTTTTTAGAAATGATAAACTGACTGAATATCCTGGGTTTTGTCTCTTTGCATTGTTAGTGAGAAAGAAAGAGGGGCTGGGGGGAGGAAAGGTGTTCTAAAGGTTTATTTTCGTTCTTATAATTCTTCTTTAAATTCAGTTAATAAGGTTTTCTTTATACCTTTTAAAGTTTTGAGCCTGTCTTGCCCTTGAAGACTTTTCTCCTAATCCTTATCTCAACCCTATAAGCTTTATTTTAACTGGGTTTTTTCGCCTCCTCTGCTCCAATGATAGCAGAGGAAGATGAGTAGATGATTTTCGTGCGTGCACTGGCATTTGGCCAGCGGTCAACCCGCTACACCTAGCAAATTGACTCTATTGGACCACTGCCACTGCCAAGGCAAGAGCTACATACTCACCATGATGGAAGCAGCTATTGGTTGGCTGGAAACACACCTTGTAAACCATGCCACTTCCTAAACACCATCTCAGGTCTTGTAAGGCACATTTTGTGGTGGCATGGTACCTCAGAAAGAATTAAATCAGACTATGGGCCTCATTTCTGAAATAATTTCATAAACTCCTGGGCAAAGAAACATGGTATTGAGTAGATATATAACATCCTTTATTACCCACTCTGGAAAGATTGAGACTGTTAAAGGCTATATTGAGACCACTGGGCAATGGGGCATGGAAGCATTGACATGCAAATTTAACAGAAGCCACTTGGATGGTTAACACCAGAGGACCTGCTAACTGCCCTGGTCCTGCCCAAATAAAATCCCTACATACTGTGGGAGGAGATAAGGTCCCTGTACTACACACAGGAAAACTACATCAACCACCTTTCCTTTATCTACTAGGTGGGTGACCTTATTCTAGGAGATCAAATTAGTTAAACAGAACTTTCATTTTGTGAACCCACGTTTGCTGTGCCTGCTTGCATTGTCTTTTAAATGCCTTTTAATAGTACCGAGTAACATCTTCCCATAATTTTACCAGATACTGAGGTTAGACTAACCGGTCTATTGAACCCTAGGTCTTTCCTCTTGTCTTTTTTGTAAATTGGAATAATGTTGACTAGCTTCTGGTGAGTAGGCACCTCCTCAGACTCCCCAGACCTTTGGTAGATGATGGAGAGGGGTCCTGCTGTAACATCTACTAGCTCATTCTGAGATGAATACCATCAGGCACTGTGGACTTATGAACATTCAGCTGATACAGCTGGTCTCTCACAATTTCAGTGTCCACAAATGGAAAGGCACTGTTCCCACAATCATGGTCCTCTCACTCAGATCTTGGGCTGCCCAGTCACCCATCAGTATTATTAAAGACTGGCGGGTAGGGGAAGCACTGAATACCTCCACTTTTTCTCTATCCCTATTAGTCAGATGACCATCTTCATCAAGTATCAGTCCAATGTTTTCTTTAGACCTCCTCTTGCTATTAATGTACTTAAAGAGAGACATGGACATACTAGAGAGAGTTCAGCAACAGACCAAAAAGATAATCAAGGGACTGGAGCATCTCTACCATGAGGAAAAGCTGAGAGAGCTGGGGCTATTCAGCCTGGAGAAGAGAAGGCTCTGGGGAGATCTTGCCAATGCATGTAAATACCTGAAGGGAGAGTGCAAAGAGGAGGGACAGGCTCTTTTCAGTGGTGCTCAGTGACAGGACATGTAGCAATGATCACAGACTGAGACATGGGAGCTTCCACCTGAACATCAGGAAACACATTTTTTTCCTGTAAGGGTGACCGAGCACTGGAACGGTGTGTCCGGGGAGATTATGGAACCTCTATCCTTGGAGATTTTCAAAGCCATCTAGTCACGGTCCAGGGCAGCGGGCTCTAGGTGATCCTGCCTGAGCAAGGGGATTGGACAAGATGATTTCCAGAGGTCATAGAATGGTTTGGGTTGGAAGGGACCTTAAAGATCATCCAGTTTCAACCTTCCTGCCATGGGCAGGGACACCTTCCACTAGGCCAGATTTCTGAGACCCCCCCATCCAACCTGACCTTGAACATTTCCAGGGGTGGGACACTCAAATCTTCTCTAAGGTCCCTTCCAACTGTAAACATGTTGTGATTCTATAAATGGATCAAGCTCCCCCATGACCCAAGAAGAGTACTAAATGCAATCCCTTGGAGTTTTGGTCCATGTTACTGAAACCTCTTAAATTATCATTGAAATTAATGTTAACTTGTTTTTCTTCTCAATGAAACAGACTTCAAATACTCCCATAATTAGCTGCTTTATCTCACTTGAAGAGGCAACACAAAACTTCCTACTCATTAATTAATTAACAAAGGCATTGAATGTTTGCATATTTACTTAATAAAATCCATCTGAAAACAGAAGCTGAAACATACAATTTTTGTAAAGGACACTGAACAAAATTATCATATGATGCAGGTAATTACAAAATAAAGAATTAAAACTGCAGTGCAGTTAGAACAGATAAGGAAGTGCAAACAAAACATCACCAGGCATTCAAAGCATCATGCACATTATGGAATAGCCATAACAACTTTTAGTCCTTTTTGAGCATTTCATTAGTACAAAGTGAATGTTACAGTTTGACACAACACAATAAATTTAAGTACGATGTCACAGAACTACCTTATCAACTTCTTTCTGTGTTGCTCCTTCCTTTTTCCAACGCTCTTGTTCTACAAACTTTGCATTGTAGTTTTCCTTTGCTTTCTGTAAGGCCTGAGTGACACTTTGAATATTTTGCACTGCTTCTAGTGTTCCTGAAGCATCTTCTTTAGTCTGCCAAATATCATATACTTGTCAAAACAAACAAATAAACAAACATTTTAACATTAACAAGTCATTGGTCATGCATAAGAAAAATTGTTAATAACCTTTTGATAGGTTTTGATTTGTTCATCTCCATACTTATGAACTTCTTTTATTAGCTCTTGTAATCTCTGCATGAGGTCCAAGTGACAGCTTGGCGGTTTTTCTGTTGAGATTTTTAAAACATCCCAAACTGGTGCAAATGTCCTGGATTGAGGGGACAAAAAATAATACAAAGTTTAATGCTTATCTGGATTTGTACTAAAATCTGGACTTGTACTAACCAGGAGTGACTGGTTGAAGATGGGAAAGCTGGTGGCAGCCTTGGCTGTAGCCACCATGAGATGGTGGAACTCAGGATCCTGTATGGAGGAAGCAAAGCAGTAAGCAGGACTAGAACCCTGAACTTCTGGAGACCTAGCCTCTACCTCTTCAGGGACCTGCTTCAAGGAATTGCATGGGATAGGGCTCTAGAGAAGGAGTCCAAGAGAACTGGTCAATATCTAAATACCATTTCCTCCAAGTTTGAGAGCAGTGTATCCCCATGAGCAAGAAGTCAGGCAAAAGGGGCAGGAGACATGCATGGATGAGCAGGGAACTTGTAGCAAATCTCAAGTGGAAGAAAGAACTTTATGGGATGTGGAAAAAGGGATAGGCCACATGGAAGGACTATAGGAACATCATCAGGATATGCAGGGATGCAATGAGGAAGGCCAATGCCAACTTGAAATTGAGTCTGGTAAGGGATATCAAGGACAACAAAAAGGGCTTCTACAAGAACATCAGCAGCAAAAGGAAGATTAGAGAAAATGTGGGTCTGCTGCTGAATTAGATGGATGTCCTGGCAATGGAAGACACAGAGAAGGTAGAATTACTGAATGCCTCTTTGCCTCAGTCTTTACTGCTGGGGATGGCCCTCAGGAATCCCAGACTTTGGGGGTAAAAGAAGGTTGGAGAAAGGAAGACTTCCCCCTGGTCGTAGAGGGTTCGGTTAGAGATTAGCTAAACAGGCTCAACAGCCGTAAATCTATGGGCCTTGATGGGGAGAACCCATGGCTGAGACAGCTGGCATATGTTGTTGCTCAGCCACTCTCCATCATCTCTGAAAAATCACAGAGAATGGAAGAATTGCCCGATGACACTCCCATTTTTAAAAGGGGCAAGAAGGAGGACCCAGGAAGCTACTGGCCAGTCAGCCTCACCTCCATCCTGAGAAAGGTGATAGAACAGATCATTCTGGAGGTCATCTCCAAGCATGTAGAAGTGTCATGGTTTGACACTGGCATGATGCCAGTGCCCCCACGAAAATGCAATCTCTCAATTAAATGCTGTGAAATGCGATCGAGAACAGAGCAAAGAAGGCCCAAGCCTAATAACAAGAAAAAAACTTTATTAAACTACTACCACTATGCTACTATAAAAGAGGGAAAAAAAAAAAAAAACACACACAATTCAAAATTAAAACCTTCCAAAGCATTCCTCCTCCCACCACCCAACTCCAACAAACCACAGTGAGACACAATCTGGACCCCAATCAGGTTTCCACCCTCCAGATAATCAACACACAGTCCATCTGCAGGGAGAGAGGAGTCTCTCCCTTGTGCCACAGACCCCCCCAAGAAACACAGCTGCCACATCCTGTGCTTCCATGTCACCACATGGCACCGCCCGGAGAAAAAAGTTTGCCAGTGGTGACTCTCTCCTTTCCATGCACAGTGCTCTCACCACCAATGCATGGATGGACAGACTGCTTTTAGGATTTTTCCTTTCAAGGATGCCCTGCCAAGAGGGGAAAAAAACAACAGTTCAGTTTTTCATTTTTGGGACCAACAGTCCCCCCCATTTTCCCCTGGGGCCGAGGGTCCAAGAACAGAGATCTTCTTCTCTTCTTCCTCTGCGAAGACGGGGGCACCACCACAAACCTCCTTAACTTTTCTCTGTTCGCTCCACTTCTGTCTTTTCCCAGCTGAAGCATGGTCTCTTTGGCTCACCGGCATCCTCCTAAAATACAGTCTCTCTTGGAGGAGAAGATCAGTTCAGTCTGTGGCTACCAAGAAAAAGTCCAGCCAAAAGCCACTCCATCATCTCCTCCCACCTAGAATTTCTCCTTCCAACATCCCAGGTCCCAGGCTGTCTCTCTTCCTCTCTTTTCAAACCAAGGAGGAGAAAAATTTCACAAAGCTTTCATTTCTCAGGAAGGGTTAAAAGTCCCGACTCCCAGAGATGGCTCACTGCCCAGGCTCCAGCTCCCAAAGGCGGCTGGGCCCCTTGTGGCCCCCCCGCTCTTCTCCTTCCCCGCGGCGAACTGCTGATAAAACCACCGCTGTCTCTTTTTCTCTCTTGGGAGAGAGAGACTCTGGGGGGAACAGAGACATCCCAGATTTTCTCCACCCTTCCATCTGCAGGGGGCCAGCCCGGGTTCCAGCCCCTCCACCCTTGGGCCTACCTCCGAAGGCCACATGGCTTCTCCCCTCCCCCACCCAGCTCGTGGCCGGGCGGGGGAGAGTCCTGCACTGCACGCTGACCAGAACCCAAGTGAGCGAGTTCTCCTGGGAATTCTGCTTTTAACCCCTCTGTGTTCTCAGAGGCGTGTCCACCTTCAATTGGTCAATGTCCAAATTGACTTCTTCCTTCTGGAAAAATTCTTTTTCCGTGTCAAACCATGACAAGAAGAAAAGAAAACCGTCATAAGTAGTCAGCAAGGATTCACTGAGGGGAAATCATGCATGACCAATCTGATAGCCTTCTATGATGACATGGCAGAATGGGTTGATGAGGGAAGAACAGTAGCTGTTGTCTACCTTGACTTCAGCAAGGCATTTGACACTGTCTCTGTCTTGGTTTGAAAAGACAGGAGTCTGCTAAGGAAGGCAGGGGCCTCTCGTGACATGGAAAATGTAAACCCCCTCCCTCTGAATTATTATAATTTTGAAATTAAGGGGCTCTCAGGCAAAGGTATGGGAGTAAGAATAACAGATCTTTATTAGGAAAAATAAAAATTAAAAATAAAAATGCAGTAATACAAAACAACGCTGACAGAGTCAGAACGTGACTTGACACCCTGTTGGTCAGGGTGTTGGTAGCAGTCCAAATAAATGGTGGCTGCAGTCCTGGAGTGACAAATGTGGTTCTGTTGAAGCAGTGATCCTGTAGAATGGTGTAGTTTTTCTGTGAAGGTCCAGTGGTGGTGTAGATGGGCCTGGTGTTCATCTGGGAATCCAGTGGAAAAGAAAGCTGGTCCTCTGGTGTGGGAATCCAGAGCTTCCCTCGGGCTGCCCTGGAAGGTCTGGGACCCTGACAAGGGGGTCAGGAACCCCCCTGTACAGAGCCCCGAGAGACACTGATCTCTGTCCATGGAAAAGAGTTTTCAATCTTACAGGATGAATTACAAGCTCTGAGTGTTTGATATGAGTAATAATTAAGTGTGGCACAGGTGCAAAAGTAAAATTTTAGGTTTCTAGATTAGGGGTTCAAAGGGGACAAGATGGAGGAAATTTGGTATGTTTTGTCCTTTTCCTCCTTCTTCATGCCCTCCATGTTTCACTGTGGTGTTGGCATTTTTCTATTGGTTTAGGCTGGGGACACACTGTTCAACATAGATGATAGATATTGGCACATTATTGTAAATATAGCACACGTAGTTTCTGGTATATAATGTTTGTAACATCCCACTGAGGGGCAGAGCCCTGCACGCTGTCCTGCAACACAGACCTGCCACAGGTCAGACAGAACATGTTATACATAAGCAAGAATAAACAACCTTGAAAACCATCACAGATGAATTACGACTTCTTCTTTGGTAGTGGGGCTGAAAGACAGAGACTTTCTACAATCTCAGGATCATTTAAATGCCACAGATTCCAACACTCTGGGAATCCAAAGGGAAAAGGCTGCCTGTGGTGTTCCAAATCTCTGATTATATCCAGGTAGGAATGCTTGGCTCCACCACCTGGGCAGAGCATCTCACAATGGGATGATGTAATTTTATCAGTCATGCAGTGACACTCAATGGCAGACTTAACAGAAGATATATCCTGGAGGATTGGTTGTGGAAGAGATAAAGAAAACTGCTCCACCTGGTTTTAACAGGTGGCCCAATTAACAGAAGATAACTACCCCACCTCTAACAGATGGCAGTAGAATATACACCCCCAGCCACATCTTGCATTTGCAACCTGGGACATTATTCACCCCTTATTTTATTACCACCTGCATCATACACAAATCAATAAACTCTACAGAATGAAACCTTACACACAATTCTCACTTAAGAATAGGTTTCCCTGTGGTGCACAACAGGCTTCTCCATCTTTCTGCATTACCCCCCTTGTGTTACCAGGTCCTGGAGCGAATCCCACTGATGGGTTTGCCTTTCTCTAAGGTGGGACTAATCCAAACAGTCTTTCCTTTCCAGCCAGCCCCACAGAGCATTGGCTACCATGCACAAATCAGTATAAAGGTATAGCTTTGGCCACTTCTCTCTTTCAGCATTGTCCAGGGCCAGCTGAATGGCGTTGAGTTCATCAAATTGACTTGATTCACCTTCTCCTTCAGTAACTAGTGCAACCTGTCATGTGGAACTCCATATGGCTGCTTTCCACTTTGGTTTCATCGTTACAATGTGACAGGAACCATCAGTGAAAAGAGCGTATTGTGTTTCTTCTGATGGTAGTTGGTTGTATGGTGGAGCTTCTTCAGTCCGTGATACTTGTTCCTGCTCCTCTTCATCAGTGAGACCAAAGTTTTCACCTTCTGGCCAGTTTGTATTTCCAAAATCCCAGGGCAATTCAGGTTTCCAATACGGGCACGCTATGTGATGAAAACAATCCATTTCCTCCATGTGGCATCGGTGGTATTGTGAGTAGTGGGAACTTTTCCTTTAAACATCCATCCCAGTACTGGTAGTTGGAGTGCCAGGAGAAATTGTGCTTCCATGCCAATCACCTCCTAGGAGGCTTGAACTCCTTCATAGGTGGCCAAGATTTCCTTGTCTGTGGGAGTGTAGCTGGCTTTGGACCCTCTGTAAGTTCAGCTCTAGAATCCCAGTGGTCGGCCTTGAGTCTCCCCAGGCACCTTTTGCCACAGGTTCCAGGACAAGCCATTGTTCCCAGCTGCAGAGTAAAACAGATTCTTCACGTTTGGTCCTGTCCTGACTGGGCCAAGGGCTACCACATGAGCAATCTCCTGCTTGATCTGGGTGAAGACTT